GTGTGTGTGAATTCATAAATATGTGAAATATATTAAAAAAATATTCTAGACTTAAGGAAATAAAAATGTGGAAAATATTAAAGAGTTTTTAATTTTCATAATTATGAACTGTATCTATATGAATTACGTAGAACCCCATGTTTTTGCTTTTAATTCTGAAGAAAAACAAAATATTCATTTAAAAATAAAATATATTGATCACTTAAGTGCAAGCCACTATCAATTATTCAAGTCAATAAATTTATAAAGTGGTTCGAATTACTACAATATTGAATTTTAAATACGCAAATGTATACCCTACGTAGTCCAAATGATGCCATTGATTCAATTAATTCGAAAATGCGTTGTTTTTCTTTCAGTTTAATTTAAGATACTAGGATTCGTACTATATGCATAATGCATGCCGAACATTTGGCATTTTTACGTCTGTTTTACAGTTTTAATTTCGATAGTGACCGATTTAAAAAAAAAATATATATATAAAAATATATTCCCATAAAATGTATTCCACTAATAAATGATTTTTGTTTTCGTTATTAAATCGCTAGTCGTAACGATAATAAGTTCTTTTTTCCTTCTTTTTAGTGAATATTTACTTACAATATTTAACAGACGAAGTGCTTTAAAGCCTGCAAATAACAATAACTGAACCAAAAAGAGGAAAGACAATTTTGTTTGCTTACAGCATTATTATGGGTATTGACTTAATATAAAATAGAATTGTGTAAATTATGTTTTTCCTGTCTCCGTCTCATATGGTACCGGTGAAAATACACAAATTGTCAATCAAGCCTAATGTGCATTTGTATTTACAGCTTTATTATTATGAACAAATAAAAAAACGCCAATTTTAAAAAATAACGCGAAACATAATGTCTATGATGGTGGACCGCATTACACGTTAGCCGGTTTTAACTAAGACTTGCATTTTTTCAAGTATTTTACGTTTATATAACACTTTCAGCAGCAGCGCAGAACGCAGAGCGAACGTTTTTAATAAACGTGCGCACCTATGTAACATTGAAACCCTACCAAACATATCTCTGCTATTTAAATGTCATGTTGACGGTTCGTATACACTTAAGTTGCCGACATAGCGTTGGTATGAGATACGGTTTTCATCGGCGTAAATACTGAAAGATGAGGAAGAGCTCATTAATTACCGCTTTCGGATGGAACAATGATTATGCTTATGTTACGTTAAGTCTTGAAACTTATCCCGAGTATATTAAAATGATTTTAACTCCGCGAGCTTGCGTTTTATATTTGTCGCTTTTCGTTCTTGAATAACAAATCGGTTTCCCGCGGTGTTTTATTTATACTATTATTATTATTATTATTATTATTATTATTATTATTATTATTATTATTATTGTTATTATTGTTATTGTTATAATTATTGTTATTATAATTGTTATTATTATTATTATGATTGTTGTTATTATTATCATCATCATTATCATCATAGTCACTGGTTACCGTATCCGATACATGTATACGAACTCTTAGTTGTCATAAATGTAATAAATATATTAATATGTGCGCAAACGAGTCTCAACCACTCTTATTTTATGTATATCATACTTTACGAAAATAATCATTATAATAAAAGGACGGTTGTAAAATATTTAGCGCTTGATTAACCATGCAATGCCTTGTATTTTTTCCACTTGTATTTTTTCTTTATTATTATTATTAAATAATTTAATATTTTATGCTTGTTTACCGTAACCAACGTTCCAATCGAAACAGTCATTTTTAATATTTCATGTGTATACTTAAGAAATGACTGAGATAATAATGAATAATTAAACAGATATTACATTAAAAAATTGGTTAACGATACAACACTAACTTTTAGTTAGAAACTACGGAATTGTTTGTAATATTATATTACAGCAAACTTACCGACACAGAAATGGCAATTTTATAGAAAAAGAGTTTTGAAAATAAAAATTTTGAAATTATTGTTTTGATTATGAGTTATGTTTTATCTATATGAGTAATTCAATAATGCATTTGAAATTCACGTTAAAAAAAAAAATTTATGCTCATTGTGCAATGTTTGCAATATTAACACTTTAACATGTTTGATCCACGTGTAGTATACAAATTACAAAGTATATAATTCAAACATTTTTTTCAATCAGACACAATGACGCCGGCTCGGACCGAAAACATAAATTTACTGCAAAATTGTTGTCCAACGAGACATGAAACACTTGCACCGCATTCAGGTTATCCAAAACGCAAAAATTCAATCGTAACCGGTTCAATATCGACGCATTACGTATAAACGTTACTTTTTTAACAGTGTTAAACTGCTCAAATGAACCCTCCGGAATATCCGTTGTAATATCTATAATTACGATATCATTATGAATATTGCTTACCGTTTTATGTCAATGATATTTGACCCGCTGAAATAGATTTCCCATTGTTGTTATATAATCATTTTTAATGCAAAATAAATTAAATTATACGACATGGGGGCAATTATTGGCAGCAATCTATATATATATATAAAAAAAAAAAAAACCAAAAAGTTGTGGCCAAAATATAAGACATAGTTCGCGTGACTGACGTGTTTTCATGATAAAATTATGTTATAGGTAAAGTGGGCAAAAAAAAAAGTCAAAATTAAAATGTAAAAATATTAGCACAGTCAAGTCTTTGGGATTGAAAAAAATAATAATTTCGACTTAAAATTAATTGTCTTACCATAATAAAATACGACACCTATTATAAAATAAGCATTGAAAAAATGTTGAGTTGTTTTAACGTTTTACTGTTCGAGATCGAATTTATCGCATATTAACTACATAATAATTTATTTTTTATTCAGTTATTCAGTTATTTACATTATGAGCATAGTTATATGCTCAAAAGTATTTTTTGTACTTGAAAATCAATATTGCGAATTATATTTTTCTAAGTGTCATAACAGTATTCTAAACAGTAAAGTATACCCAATATAAATATAAATTTAGTTTGACACCTCTCGATTTTTCTAATTGCTCTTTCCGTACCTAATAAATTATAAACCAAACCAACGTAGTGTTTTTATTCTTAATAATTATGTAGCCTACAGTTTTTACGATACACATTTAATAAATCGTTACAAAACTGACGAAGACAAATATATGTACAAATGTGTGTATAAATCTAACAATGTTTTTTACATAAATATGCTTTAAGTATATATGGTGTTTGACTAAGTAAAACTAATAGCTAGCAGTTATTGTGTTTATTTAAGAAAGACGATAATAACAATAACTTGTCAATAACAATCATGAAAAATTTTTCATTGAAAACTCGACGGTAAAATAGAAAACTCATATTCTATAAATATTAAATGCAATTAATTATTTAGAAAAGATATCATATGCACTATAAGATACTAACCATCGATCGCAGTGAACTATTCCAATATTATATATATGCAATACTAAGCTGGTAAAAATATTCAAATAAAAATATTTGAACACGTGTATTTTTGTATTCAAATATTGCTTCGAATTTATGTAAAAGAAACATTATTCAAATATGTATTCGGGATAAAAATGTTGAATTTCTTACACATACAGAAATATCTTCTGTTTGTACAAAATTTGTTTTATAATATTATATCAGAATATAGAAATGATACCGGTAAAAAGAAATATAGTATAAATAATATTAATTCTAATATTAGGAATAATAGTAATTATTTTATCTTATAACCTGTATTTAACTTCGAATATTTTAATTTTACTAATGAAATAATATATATAATATGAATTATTTTGGTTTTATTGAACAAAAAATAAATATAAATACATATTATCGAATAGTAACATACTTATAAATTTAGTTGTGTAGCAATATTTTTAAACGAAGAATAATTTCCAATATTAACTTTGAATAAAAACTATAATATTGTACAATAATAATATATGAAGTAATACTTACCCTAAATGTTTCTTCTGAAAGATTTTATCGTTAAACTGACTTCACTGAATACATATAATGAAGTATGCCGACTGTTTAATATACAAATATGTTTTTATTTATCTATTTAAAAATTTTCGTTATTTTAATTTCATTGTACTTTATTTTTGTATTTCTATATTTTCCAATCATCTTATAAATTATTGATTGGTATTACTACGATTAAATAACGTGATAATGAAAATTGTAAACTAATATTTGTATCGCATAAAAAATTTAACTAAATAGTTTTGTCGGTATATACTTGTAATTTAAGTTTTTAGTCATATTTGAAATCCGTTTTTATACACCGATAAACCCAACGATAACATTCGCGTAATGAAAGGAATATGTTTGATTTTCAAAAGGGTTTGTGGTTAAATAAATAAATTGACCAGTTTAAATGCTTGTACACCAGAGAAAAACATATTTCAACCCCCCATTCGCTTACTTAGACGTGACATTTTATATTATCATCCTACTTGTGTGGTATTGTATGCAATTTAAAGTACATACTAGTTATTATTATTTTTAAGTGTGGATAATATACATGCCGTGTACTCTTGTGTATATGTATATATACCTAACTGATAACGAATCCGATTTATCAAAAATCACAAATGCTTTTATATTATAGGTACACGGCTTTTTTAATCACGAAATCAGTGGTTTGTAGTGTTTAATGAACGGTCTTTGGGGATTAATATTAAACAATTTTTTCCATGACATCAGATTTTTTTTATTTTTTATTTTTTTTTATCGTCAGCACTCAGCTCTTATAGTGGTGTAGGCACTTTTTAACGGCCACGTTTGTGTGTAAATTACAGGCTGCTAGCGAAAGAAAAGGGTTTTTCAACAATCTGTTAAGCCATTTGATGGCCGAGTAATGTACGTCGGTAATGAGAAAAATGCGTGCCGCCTATAGAAGGTGCAATACACACGCACACCATCTTTTTACGTTATTATTATTAAAAAGAAAATCATAATAATAGTAATAATAATAATAATAATAATAAATAAATAAGAGTAAAAGAGGGAAGAAATTGCAACACTATAATAAAAACATCAGCAGCGACCAAAATAATAACAACGTGTTTCATTAATTGCGTATTGTACACCCGAGCTGTACGGTGTTACGTTTTTATGATAAAATATACTCGTCCGAATTATTTGGATCTGAATGCATATCGTCTTCGGTCATCAGGTACTCGATTCTGCTGCCGGGCGGCGGGTCAAAGTACATCGGCTTGTTAATGTTAGGCATGTCTAAGGAATGAAAAAAAATCTTTAATTGTATTACTTCTATCGACATACATAGTAGGTATTGTAAGTTTTACCACAAATCGAATGAAAAATAATTTGTTATCCAACTATAAAAATAATTATCATCCATCAACCAAACTTGCTATCTATGTCAATGGTAAACTTACATTACACCTACCTATCTGGTACTTAATTAGATCTATACACTCATTATCGTACTGGAATTCGACAACAAAGTATTATTCAAATTACTAAGTTTTCGTGGTTTCGTGGTTGAATCGTTTTAAATAAAGATTACTGATGCCTAAATCAAATGGATTTTGTTAATTTGCAAACTTATTAGAATGCAAATTTCTCCGAGTTAAATAAGCATTCAAATCTATATTTTTAATGATTATAAAATTTATATTTTTTAATGTACCTATATTTTTAAAAAATTACATGTATCTATAAGTCTTCAAAAAAATATTATCTAATCATTATTATATAGTATTACTTCGGATTAAATTTATTTTTAAATATAAAAATATGCAAACAATTATTCTCATAAATTTTAACCAATTAAAAAAAAAATAAATTCATAGAAATAATTATATCTTAGGTTCAAAAAATGAAACAAAACATTTAATTTAAAGTAGCTATATTATACCATAGTTACAACTTATAAATTATAAACATTCAAACGAATAGTGTTGATTGAATAAATATTGTGTTTCTTTTAAAAAATCTAAACTTGATCACAAATGTTAAAATAATAAAAAAATTAATTTTAATATATAATTAATTTTGTTTTTAATACTTAGCTGTGATATTGTGTTTTGATATTATCATTAGTTATTAGATAGTACTGTTATTACATAATTTCATTGGCTATAAAGTTGACGTATATTAAAATAAAAACATTTAAATGTTACTCAATTGTATATAGTATCGTTTACGATAATTTAAAATTATGTTCTTTGGAGAATATGTAGAATATTTCGTGTAAATACGAATATAATATAATTTGAATATATTTACTTATGATAGAGCAGTAAACGACGGAAAGCATGACGAGTAGAATAAAAATATTACTTAAATTACGCTTAAAGCACACGAACAAAAATATAACATTACACATTTGTGCATACTCACAACTTTATTGTAGTGACACGTATTGGTCGCATTAACCGTCTGCAGTCTTTTTTGAGTGATATAATAAAGAAAGAAATTGCACCATTGTGACATGTTTGTCTAAACAATATGCATATTGTGCGTAAACATTAAATACAATTGTTCATACTTCAAACTATATGTCTGGTTAAATATGAAACTATATTATGGTTGGTTGGCAATAGATATGACCTTAAATAAAATTTTTTAAAAATGAAAAACCCAACAAAATTCAAACATTGATGTTATTTCATTATATTTTTAAACAGCTTTTGTTTAGATTTTAGCCAGGTTAGTGTTGTTAGTACTGTTGTGATTTTTTATTCGTTAATTAAAATATAAAATATTTTATTTCATAGCAGAACATTTTTATATCATCGCACTATTAAAGACCATCTGAAATATATTTAAAATAGTGTATTATTTAATTCGTAATTTTATTGAAAAATATGTAAACATTTTTATTTTTATTTTTATCAAATTTAAACATGTTTTCTAATAATATATAAGTCAAATGCCATAATATACACACACACATATGTATATATATATTTCAATATTACATGAAATAAGTGTAAAAAAGTCTATAATTACCGACAACTCACTTCATTACAATAAAATTATTGTATCTTTTTGCGAAAATATATATGTATTTCTAAACAAAGTCTGTGTTGTTTGAAAAAGTTTTTATTTTTAATCTGTAAGAAACAGTAGACTTTTTTTTTTATAAAAATATAATAAACATAGACACGTAAAATATGTCAATCTTGCCGTAAAAAATCTAGTGAATTAAATATAATTTACCATTAGTTCAACTGAACTTGATAAATTATTGTGTATGATAATAACTTTAAGGTATTGTCATTTTCAACTCAACTCAAAAATATTAAAAATATTTATTTAGTCTAGATATTTTAAAATGTTAAATTTAATTCTTCACCATGAATTGAATTTATTTGTTTGGTAAATTATGACTTTTATGATTATTATTTGAAAATTATTATTTATATCACCTAATTAACGATTACGGTCTGTATGATATATGATTCCCTTACATAAGCTATTTATTTATTTATTGAAAATGTATTATTAATTACATTGAATAAATAAAAGTAAGATAAAATAGAAAATACATTAATAACACAAACAATTCTAATATTTGAACTTATTTTTTAAATAATAAATATTTAAACACTGTACATCTATAAAATTTAAAACTAAAATCTTTTACTGTTTAATGTTTTAAAATTATTAACAATAATAAATTATTTATAATTCTTATATTTATGCATACAATTAAATAATTATCGTGTAATATTGTTAATATATTTATTAAATACACAAAAGTAAAGGTAAGATTATATATAAGATATGTATATACATATATATACCTGTATAAATAATCTGTAAGAATTCATTATGAATGATTAATACATAATGATTTAAAAATTATCCCATTTTTTTTTTTTTTTTTTTTTTTATAAAAGGACAGTACATTGTCAAATTTGAACTTTAGTTAAGTTTTCAAAATGTTACATAAGAAATTATTTCATTATTCAAATTAAATCATTGATAGAGACCTACCGGTAAATCATTGAATTGTTTCATTACATTTATCAAAGTATTCACCTATTAACTGATAATACCTCAATGTTCAAGTAGTATACGATATTGATGTATAATGATGATCGATTTAAGACGAAAGAAAAACAGCTCCATTCGATTGTACACAAATATAATTTTAACCCTTTTATATTAAAACGTTTGTGTTCATAGTTTAAATTTCTTGAAATCTAAGAACTTATTTGAAATATATAAAGATAGAAGAATTAGATATCACATATTACCAACAAATCTACTTAGTACATAAACTATAATACGCGAAACAATAATTTATTATGGATAGTGGATCTGGCCATTGGTTTTATTTGTATGAACGACGTACAAAAGGTCTGGAGTAATTACAAAAATTTAAGACAACGTAACATAATTATTTACTAGTATTTTATTTAAATAACGTTACCATCAGGATATAAATAACTGATGTAATAGAGTCAGTGGCGCACAGAGGGAGGGTCAGGGGTGTCGACTAACATCCCTCAGAGAATTGGTGAATGGCTAGTTCTGTGTGAACTTGTATGAATATTTGTTTAATTTAAAACTAACCATTTTTTCAGCTATCCAAATCAACATACTAATTATGTTTACCCTAGAACTAAAGCGTCACATGAGAATAAGTAGTAGGGCTCAGTCCCAAAAACTATGCTATACAAACTTATAAATTAATACCTAGAAAATTGAAAAAAAATAAATATTAGGTTTATTTAAAAAAAAAAAATATTTTTAGTATCTTTGTTAGTAAGGAAAAACGAAAAAACACTTAAAAATAAGAATTATACTATGCCTAAACTCAGATTTTACTGGTGGTGGTGAGTGGGTACCTCAAAATATATATTTACAACACCCTTGTCAAAAATCTTCTGTGCGTCACTGGATAAATTATTGATGTTATAATATTTTACTTTATTTTCACGAACGTAATAAAAGTATAAATTACTTTAAAAAATAAAAAAATAAAAACAAATAGCAGCGTTTTATCATTGAAAAGTGTAATAATAATTTTTCTATTTTTGTTATTTCTTTGAGCTAGAATAAATATTTAAAGCATCCAGAAACAACGATAAATCAATTTTGATTAAATTTTAACATTAATCACGTGAAAACAGAACACATAAATATGAAAACAAAATTAATATGCACGTGTCACCAAGTAAGTAAAACATTTATTTGATGATAACAGGTGCCATTGACAATTATTATTGTAATATAAACTCAAAATACATTGTTTTTTATTTTTATCTACCAAATGAAAAACTGCTTTATTGTTTAGTTTTTCCTGTCATAGTTTACATACGAAAATGTTTTTTTTTTTTTTTTGTTTACATTATTTTAAAACGTGAATAAAAAGTGTTTACACACACGTCAAACGAGGTGAATCGTATACGCATTATACGCTTTGTTTACATTAATATTTTGTATTATTCGGCTAATGCAATATTCGCGAAAAAACTAATAATTATAAATGCAAAAATGAAAGTTGTACGTTACACGTAATAAATAAATATTTTACGTATTATCGTACATATTATAATGGTATAACATGCTCAAAACTACGGATGGTTGATGATGAAACGCCAGAGTTAAACTGTGCACAAAAATTAAATAAAAATCATATTGGTATTTGACAATTTACCTTGTATTAAGCAGTTAATAAAACATAGGCCATATAAGAAGATGCATTGTTTAACGTTATAACGATGGACAGCAATTTTTTCGACCAACTTTACCATGGTTCACAGCATCACATTTATTTGCTCTCACGATGGCTGCTGATACGGGTAGATTGATTAATGCTACACTAACTGGCCGTAGTTTCGGATAATAAAGTCTAAGTTCGCACAATCAGATTCCCGATGGACTTCCTTCAGTTAGAGCGTAAGCCGGACTGTGTGTACGTCTAACAACATTAGAGGTGAAATCTTGACCGTTGTCCAGGGGCGATTTTGGCACGGTTCTTTACGTGTAGAATTTGACCGTAACTTGTTTGAGCAAAAGCGTATTCCGTAACGAACCACGCAAAAGCCTTCTGTGTTCCAGACCATAAAACCGAAAATGCACTATCACTGATATGAAATGAAGATTACGCAATAATTAAACAGATAAATAGTTCAGTAATTGACAAAAATGAGGGGGTTACAATCTAAAAAAATGTATTGTACTTGATGGTAATAATCCATTGATTATTATATTAGTAAAAAGTTTTTAACGAAATCTCGAGAATCTGTAGAACGATCTATATGTTTTTTGTAGGTATTAAACTGCAATTATTGTTGATCCATTGATTAGTTTTCATATGAACATTTTTGGTATAGTACAATTATAATGTCTAATTTTACTCAAGTAAACACTTGTAAACATAACGAATAAAGTATTAAAGGCTAAAATGTAGATTCCGGATGACTTAAAAATAAACATTCAGTAATTTGTTCGAATGCGTACTTCAAGTTTTCATAATTATATCGTTCGACTAGCTAATGTTGAACTGATTTTTGTCACACTTGTGTTTCCGTTAAATAGACAGCAATATTATAAAAAGTTTTTAAATAAAAAAAGACACAATTATTTATTTATGCGCTTTAAACATCATGACGGTTTAATTTTACACTTTCGGAAATTTACTACGAAATCTTCATTTGAATAGTTCAAAGTATGTTTGAGATCTGAAAATGTTTATTTATACATTTTGAAAATACTATGCTTTTGTCTTTCGTTAAAATAAACACGAGTGGATAGTCTAAAAAAATAAAAAAATAAATACTTCTACCGTTGTAGGCATCATGGTGTTGAAAAAATCTGACGTTAACGATCGTCGCGTTGGCGGCACACCTCGAATTGGTAGTACTTCGAATTTGAAAAAAAAAAGACCTTTCACCAGTATTGATTGCATATATTTATCGGTATTTCGAGTACACATTTTTCAATGGTATAACGTAGGTATTAGGACATCAGGCAGTGATTACAATTACGTTAAAGCGGCCATCGTTTTGCATTCCTGTGGCTGGTGTACTTGGAGTCCCAGGGCCGGTCCAGAACGCGCAAGTATCGTTCGCGCAAATTGGTCAGGTACGTTTTCACCGCCTTTTCCGCCCTTTCACTCAGGCTCACGGTCTTCGGGGCGTCGCGCAACCGATTCAAGATGTCCCTTTGGGCGCGACGGTCTAAGTAAAGCAATCCTGCGGCATGGGCGAGCGAAGGACCAGCGAAGACGAGTGCTACGAGACCGACGAGGAACCAACGCGACGGCGGCAACCACATGACGTCGCAGCAGTAGCGGCGGCGGAGCAACAAGTCGTTGCGGGAACGGCGATCGAACTACGACGACAGCGTGTCTACCCCAGGCGAATCGATACACATATTTATACGTACACATACGCATATTATCGTTCTACGTTCGCGAGCGACCACAAGACGTAGATGTTTTCGGATTTTTCTATTTTTTGTTCTTTCCTTTTCCCCCACCAATTTTACGCGTGTCGGTCGGCAGTCCACTGACCCGTAGGAACGAAGGTTTCGGTCACGTATAGTATGATCTTGTTATTAATTTACTATTTTTTGTTTCCCTCGAAAATTAAAAAAATATTATTATCTTTTCGACGAATTAATAAACATACTCTTCCATCCACGAATTTATATCAAACGGATAGATTGATGCAGTGCAAATTTTGCCGCGAGCAAATAATAATTACTTCGATGATGATTTTTGTACCATAAATACCAGGGGTATAAATTAACTAACCTTTTGCCGACGATGATCTCGTGCTTTCGATTTTATTTTATGTTTTATCTTGTACCCGGAAATGATTTTTAAAACATATTATTTAATAGTTTTAGAATAATGTATATTTCGGCATAAGAAAGTACTATCGGATAGATTATTATTTTTATAAAAAGCTGCAAGTGACGACGTGTCAATATAGTTTTTATATGTTATTGGTAGCGTTCAAATAACCGATAGTGTTGTGATAATATTTTAATATAATATCCATGAATTAGAAAAAGATTAATCAACGACTATTATACGATTTTGGCTGTAATCCTTCCCTCCTAATATTCGAAATATTAGCTTACATTGCTATTTATGTAATAATTCTAGTTTTACAATTTGACATTAAGTCTGCCGCAGCCTGTAACTATAAACGTGGTCTACGGCCGTTTAAAAATATTATTATACGTACACATAATTTATAATCGGATATTCACCAATTGACGAATGGACTTAGTTTTTTTTTAATTTTATTCGTCAAACATACACTTACACAGATGGAAAATAACAATTCACCGACTGCAAATACCGATATTAGGAAATTAATCACTTAATCGACTTACAGTGCCTTTTACAATGTCCTATACAGGTGGTTTTCGAAACACTTACGCACAACTTCACTCGTTATTTAATACGTGTACAACGCATAAATCGTGTTTTTGTCGTGTTTAACAGAGTATTAAGTTATAGTCATACCCGTTATTCCAACGTAATGGATTTTTCGTGTGTACTAGTGCTCTGCACGGTCCATTATTTTAAGGACTAGACCGGACTTCAAATTTTACCAAGGGACTGAAGTCGGACCGGATCTAAAATTTTAATCAAAGACCAAAATTGGACTGAATCAACGGCTTCATATTATTTTTAGACCGGACCGGACCAGTAATTAAATAACATTTAATAAAGTATACCGTGGACAGGAGGGAGTAGCGGAATTGGTACCTATTTGGCCGAATTGGTTCCTGTTTGAAAAAGGTATTTCATTAGGTATAGCCGAATTGGTTTCCGTTTGTGTACTGGTAAAATAGTGAAAATTTTAATTTTTAACACAATTTATCTACACTATTAAAAATTAAAATTCAGCGGGCCAGTGCATAGAGAAAAAAAACTATATTTTAAAAGCTTTAAATATATATTATCATATATCGATCATATTATATCGATAAGATAAAGTATAGAAATATAATACAGATAGAATAATAGATTACTGAATTTGGAAAATTGTACGACTAACTACATTAATAAGAAGATTACAAGAATTGAATATTTAAAGAAAGTTAACTTCAAATTTATGAATCAATTGTTTTAAATTGTATTTATTGTATTTTATTAGTTGTATTTAAAGTGATGACAAGCTGACTTATTTTTTTAATCAAGCCTACTTTAAAGTTGACAGTACTAATCATGTAAAATTGAGAAGGAAAATGTGCATAATTCGTAACCAATTCGCTACCAACCGGACCAGACTGTCGGTCCAATCTTAAAACATTTTGGACCCTTTATAGACCGGTCCGTAAGGTTCACTCTGTATTAGCTCAGACCGTACCATATGATGCGTTTAGTATTACACTGGACCGGACTGCCCGACTTTATAAATAAATATATACCTAAAGTTGTAGGTTTATTTCCATTTTATTTGTTTACATAACAATATCTGTATTTAGATTTTAAGTACCATGATTGGGACCGGACCGGACTGATTTTCATTTCATTTTTTTTTAACCGGACCGAACTACTCAAAAAAATTATTAAACCAGACCAAACCAACGATTCAGTAATTTTTGTATGTTAGGACCATACTAGATCTGACTGATTAAAACCAGACCATGCATAGCACTAGTGTGTACTAAAGAAGCCACCGCTGACGACGACCTCGCTGCGAGCGGATATGGATAAACTTCCGCACCATCACCGCATCACAATATACACAACGTGATATTGTTCGGTGATTTTTAAATATTATTTACCGTGCGGTCCCGATGCGTTCGTCACAATTTATTATTTCGGAAGTGTAGTCATTTCCATTTATAATTCTGACGGATCATTAAAAGTTACATAGACTATATTTAAAGT